AATTCCTTCACAAATACATTCTCCAAGCTCCACTCCATTCAACAATGGTGCTTCTTCGTGATTTAGGGTTTTCTGGGGCTCAAGGGGTGATAAAGAGGTTGGGAGGGAAACATAATGATCTTTATATAAGGCTCAACCCCGAGAATTAGGGTTTTCTCCACACAGCGCCTACTCGCCGAGTCCATTACACTGACTCGCCGAGTCGGCCACTTAACACGCGACCAAGTCGCGACTCTACTCGCCGAGTCCATCCATGGACTCGCCGAGTCACTCTTTCACAACTTACTCTTTTAGGCCCTTAAACTCTACTATTGATATTTCGGGATGTTACACAAACCTTAATATCTTCCAATTTTAACACAATTTTCTTAAATGAGTTGAAGAAACAATGATTTTATAACAATCGGTTGGCAGCTAAACCTAACCCTTATTTAAAACTAAAAACGAAAAAGGAGATGTGATGAAGTGAAATGAAAATCGATAGCGTACATCGCCCAAACAATACGACATAGAGGAAAATGAGTCGATGTGATTTGTAAATCGAGGTTGATGGCTATTCGGAAGGTATGTTACATGGTGCCATCGAAACTGTGTAAATGTGATGTTTGGCGGCAGAAGAAAAAATGGGGTGTTATATGTAACCCCACCCTTGAAATCTGAAAAAAGTTTCAAACAAAAAAATCACAATCTCAACAAAGCTAGGGTTTCAGAAGAACCATAAATGAAAATTAAAGAATAAGAAGAGCGTTAAATCTTACTTGACCGTGACTTTCTTCAATGATTTCAATAAATCAGATAAAATCTGACAATTGTTTTGATTAGAAAAAAACCCTTGTGACCTATAAGGCTAAAAGGAGTGGTGACACTTCTAACACTTTGTCATATCAATTTTTTGAATGCCATATCATTTTTCTATATTTAACACCTAATCTTAACATTTAATAGGGAGTGACAACACCTTTAGCACTCCATTTTTTTATTTTCTTTTTATAGTTTAATTTAATAAACAAACATTTATTTTAATATTACACAAACATTTTTTAATATCACATATTTGGAACAGAGTTGCAAAAACAGAAGTCATTAGAACAAATATATAGATTACAAATACCTTAGGGACTAGTTTTGTAAATATAAGTTAAAATATGCCTAAATACAAATCGCCAATAAGTTATACCCTAAATTAGTAGCCTCCATCCACTGTGTTCTGTTTCTCATCGAGCATGTTGCCTCCCAAGCTCCGATTCTGCAATCATCTTTCTTCCATTGCCTGTAATCGCGTTCTTCCATCGCCTCCATTAGGTGCAATCGTTTTCTTCCCTCTGCAAGGTTTTTTTTTTTAACTGTTCATGATCGAATTATTTGGTTGAATGATCAATTGAAGCTCGAAGCATGCGATTTCTGATTTTGCAATCCTTATTTTAGTGATTGATCGTAGAATCTGATTTTAAAATTGATTTTGCATATTGATTGGTAAAGCAACCAATCATATGCAAGCAACATTCCCTCTCTCCTCTCGCCAAGCCCTTAATGAACTTCATCTAGCAAGCCCCCTAGCGAGCGCTAGGGGGCTGTGTTCCTATGCCCTTAGCAAGCTTGGCGATATCACTTGACGACTCCACTTCGTTTGGCCTAATATAAGGAAAATTATGTATCTTCGGGGTTGAACTGCTCCCGCTTTCTAGCATCTCCATTATGACCCTGAAAAAAAAAACATTTATAATGATATTAGACGAATAGGAAGATAGAAGGCGTTTGGAAAACAAAAGTCTGAAGAGTATATACCATTTATCATCAAGAAGTGTAACACCGTAAATTTCAAAACAATTTTTCTTTTGAAAAATTATAATTCTCATTACATATTTCACAAAACATCGTTTATTAAAATCACAAAACATAGCTCCATGTTTAATAAAATGGTAATCCAGGATCATCTTAACTCTCTCTCTGGTGTGTGCAATCAAGCCCGTGCCATCCCACGATCCAATTAAGAAAAACCTGAAACACATAACACATAACACGGTAAGCACGAAACTTAGTGAGTTCCACAAAATACCACATATAACACATTTTAGCCACTCGAGGCTATAACTCTATGGACCCTCTGGTCCTAACTCTGTGAACCTTCTGGTTCTAACTCTGTAAACTCTGAAACATATATAGCATAAATCACATAGAAATAATGCAGTGTATCACATCGTATAAATAACATACAAAATACTCTGTCACATAACTCTACTTACCACTCTAGGTAATGTATAGTGAGAAGACTCACCTCGGATGAAGAACTGCTCCTATAAACACTGCTGTCACGCACCGGCCTCTAGCTCTGTGCCAAACCCACAATTATCTCCATTAGGAGCTAAGTCCAACCTCTCACTTATTTGGGTCTAAAGACATCCATGTACCAGCCTATTAATGCCCTGAACCCATTGGGCCCACCGAGGCCCAATAGTAAATGGGCCCACACATGGCCCAAAGCCCAAACAAAAAGGCAAGCCTAACTCAAGGGCCCAAAGCACATATATACACTTTTCTGGTCCAAGACTCTAATGCATGAAGCCCAAACTCCAGGCCCAACACCCGAGGCCCAAAACATAACTCAAAAGCCCACAGAAGGAGTTACGCGGGGCGTACCTCCTTGGTACACTCAGCGTACTTAGGCGCGCAAGAACTGGTCGGGGAACTCAACTTAGTACACAAGGCGTACTGGAATTACGTAGTGCGTACTCTCAGTTTTGCTTATCCAAGTTTCTAGGTCTTAATCTGTTAAGACCTTAACTCATCTCTTAAATCTGGACTTCCTAACATCTCTTACTCCATAAAGTCGACGACTTTAGGCCCTAGAATGGCTGATAAGGTCACAACACATGAAACTCTTACTTTCTTAACCCAAAATGCACATAACTCATGCATGGGTTGAATCTCATGATCAAGATCTCAGTTTTATGGTTCCCCACCACTAAATACGCTTAAAAGGATAGGTCATTTAGCTCTGGAGTTCACCAACTCACAAAGTTCAAATCTTGGGACATAAAACCCTAAAATGGACCATACTAAGTATAGATCAAAAAGAATGGGAAAGCTTTGAGCTTTTTACATTCAAATGATGCTCTAGCCCTAAAAAAGCTCAGATCCAAGGCCTGGACTTCAACTCCATTTTCTTTCATGCTCCTTCTTAACTCCAAAGAGCCCACAATAACACACACAAGCTCAACATGGCCACCTACAAGCTTAAGAACAGTTATTAGGGTTTGAGAGGGTTTAATGGCCGAGGAAGGTGGCCAGAAATGAGACCATCCCATCCTTTAAATAAGGACACCACTTGAATTAGGGTTTCCCTTCAGAGCCTAGTACGCCCAACGTACCCTTTGGTACGCCCATCATACTAGGTGGTCCTTGCGTCCAATCCACGCTCATAGGTACGCTAAGCGTAACCATACTTACGCCTAACTTACCCGATGCCACTCACTTCTCCATAAGGACTCAACTTTCCATAACTCCCAAACTAACATAGCTTCTTTGATATAACTTCAGACTCTCAAGATCCTCATTTATACTGACAGATGACGAGATGCCTTACGATCCCAGCAACTGGCCACAACCTGAGACTTCCTCATGCCCGACTTGTGGCCCACGAACCCTAATAATGGACAATCCGAAACAGGATGTTACAAGAAGCATATGAGAGGTTGTGTCGATTCAATGCATCATTTTCTGGAAGCCTAGGAAAAACTTGTCGATTCACTTTAATCCCTTTGTCACAAATTTGATTGGCGTCGTTTGGCATGGCGTCATTGGAAATGTAAAGACCTTCTTGTAGACGACACCATACTAAAAGGGTGTGACGGTGCAGGCATGAGGACAGATGAAACATGTTCAACGAATGACCTCTTTTAAGGGGAACATAAGCAAGAAAGAAAACGCTGCTTGAGGACAGATGTACCTTTTCCTTTGAAAAGTATCGTATAAAAAAGTGACGATTGAACATCTTCAACCGTTGTCATATGCGTTTCTTTAGACCTGCTCACACGCTGTACGCGCTATGACAAAAACAAGGTGTATATATATATATATATATATATATATATATATATATATATATATATATATATAGAGAGAGAGAGAGAGAGAGAGAGAGAAAGAGAAGTTCAATAAAGAATCATTATTAATCAAGGAACCAATCCAAAACGTCAAAATTTAAAGCGATCAATGGCAAAAATGAAGGATTGTAAACTTTTACAATGGACGCACATGTACCAGATTATAACAAAACCCACTTCTTTTTTAAAAAAAAAAAAAAAAAAAAAACCGAATATACCATTGTTCACGATTTTTCTTCATCTTTCCACAGAGATCCATAATGATATATAAAAAATGAAATTTTCTTTTTGAAAAAACTCACAGTATTTTCTTTGTTGAAAAGTTAATGTCTATTTTTTTATAGAAAAAATTAATAAATATATCAAAATTCATGTTTTTTTGCACTTTTTAAACATAGATTCACATTCATGTAAAAAAAATAATATTTTAGTGCAGATTCAAATCGTGAACCTGTTCATATTCACATTGTGAACCTTCTCAAATTCATCATGTGCATAATACTAAGTCAGATTCACAATGTGAATCTGAACTGATCGGATTCACATTATGAATGTTAAAAATTAAAATATTTACAATTTAAATTCACAGTATGAATCTACACTGTTCGAGTTTTTTTTTTTTTTTTTTTTTTAATTGGTGTTGATGTTTATTAATAGAGTACAAAAAATTAATATTTTTAGTATAATTATTTTTTTTTTTGATAAAAATAAACTTAAATATTGAAAAAGTTATATATATATATATATATATATATATATATATATATATATATATATATATATATATTAATTTAATTGAAAGAAAAATATATCACTTTTTTAGTTTAGTACGCTGCATTTTGAAATTTAGTTAAAGAAACGTAACAAAAGTTAAAAATTAAATCCGTATGCGATAACATGATGCAATGCAGTCCGAATTGCCCACTTTTCTTTTACATCGGACAACTTGACGAAACCAACCACAGATTTAAATATTTAATAGAATTGCACGTTAGCAGCACCATCATCACCACCACCGCCGCCGCTATCCAACGTAAGCTAAGGAGAGGTTAAAGTCGGAAAGCAGTCAACGTCATCGGAGACGATGAAGTGTGTGTCTTGCAAAGATGAGTACGGCGCTGCTGACGCCGGCACGTGCAGAGAGTGCTACGAGGAGGCTAGCGAGACTGAGGAGGAACTGAAGCGTGAGATCGAAGAATTAAAATCAAAAGTTAACTTTCTCCGTTTCTGGTCCCCTGTGGACTCCCGCTCCCACCATTACCACCGATCTACAACCCCATGCTTCACCGACGTACTTCTGGTGGCTTTTGATGAAGATTCCGGCAAACCTGTGGCCAATTCTGTTCCTGTTCCAGCCAATAAGGCCGTTCTGGTCAGTAATTTATCCGAAATTAATCCACTGTTTAGACTTGCTGTAGAAACATAATAATTTCAAATTCACCAAGTGATCATGATCCAATCTGGTACTGTACTAGCAGCCTAGCATTTGTTAGGTATAATGTGGTTAGAATCCCGTCTAGACAAGAGGACAGTGTAGTCATTAATTCAATTTTGAAGGTTGAGTTGTCCTTGACGCCTCAAATTGGAACAAGGAAATGAGGGAGTATTTAGGGTTTGTTCAACGAATATGGATTAAGATTCATTTTTCAATTTCCTAATGAAATATAAGGATCCTTAAGGCTACCTGGGTACGGATCTAAAAATAATTACATCTTTTATCTTTGTAGTTTGTGGAATTCAATCTGATCTTTCCAGTTTCATGAATAAATTGGAATCAAGATATAAGCACATAGACAGTCGACACTTTAAGGAATTCAATCTAGAAAGATGAGCTTTTGATGAAGTTATGCTCAATGAGTAATTTAGTTGTTGCATGGATTCAGCTGATGAAAATAAGGATGGTGATTGGTGAGCACCACAGGGTTGGTTAAGTGAATGATATGCTTTCACAAATTCATGAAGCACTATGGTGTTAAGTGAAGTGGCATTGTAATGTCTAATTTCATGAAACATTTTGGCGTTAAGTGAATGATATGCTTTCTGTTAATCCTACTAATTTATTGTTGACAATATCCACAGACCACAAGTATTGACCTAAAAGCTCATATGGATATAGAAATGTGAGGGCAATTTTGGTCTTTTATAAGCAAAAGGAGATTAAAATTTATATTTGCAAAGTTAGAAAACAACAACATACTTATCTCAGTGTTGTAAAAATCGGCCTAGGCTATAGGGTAGGGTTTTTGATAACCAACAAAAAACCCGGTTTTGGTCAAACTTGGTCAAAATAAAAGGTACATTGCTCATATCGGTAAAAAAAGGCAAAGTACATTGTCTTTCCTGCAAAAAATAAAAAGGTAAACTTAAGTTGAAAAACAAGAGAAAGGCACTAATGTTTTGTTTATACAGACGAATTGGTTGTGATTTTATATTATTTTGATAAACAGACGAGTCGTTCGCCAGTGTTCCGAGCCATGCTTGAAACCGAAATGGAAGAAAGCCTGAGTGGGACCATCAAAATAAGCGATGTATCTTATGATGCTCTGCGTGCATTTGTGAATTATTTGTATACAGCGGAAGCATGTCTTGATGATGAAATGGCATGTGATCTTTTAGTGTTGGCTGATAAATATGAAGTAAAACATCTCAAGATTTACTGTGAGAAATTCTTGATTTCAAAACTCAACTGGGAGAGTTCGCTTTTAAGCTATTCGTTTGCTCATCAGCATAATGCAAACAACTTGCTTGATGCCTCATTATCGATAATTTTGGATAACATGGAGAAGGTAAGTAAACGTGAAGAATATATGGAGCTTGTGGAGAAAGATCCACGGATTGTTGTGGAAATTTATGAAGCATATTTGTCCAAACAAGTTAATACCGCTGCTGCTGCTGATAGCCATGAAGATAAGGTAATAAAACACCGTTAGATTGTTACATGAGTATATTTATCCGTTTTGTTTTTGTTTTTGTTTTTTGTTTTTTTTTTTTTGTTTTTGGTGTTGTAGCACAATCCATAACGAAGGAATAGGTAATGTGATACGCAAAAGTATTGAAATGTGTTGTTACATTTGATTATCATGTTTTGTTGCCATGTAGTAATGAAATGACACTTTCATATTAACTTTTTATTTTATACTTATAGTTTTGACTATACTCTATACTTTATTTAATTATAGGCATAGCTAATGAAATTTTCATTTACAAAAATAAAAAATTAAACTTAATAAAACTTCAATAGCAACAACAATAAGAGAAACCTTGAGACCCATACAAATGGGATACGTGGAAGGTAAAGATGGTAGGCAGCCGAAATTGTTTCTAGAAAATAGGGGTGAGCATGGTGCGGTTTTCAGACCAAATCGAACCGCAAACCGCATGGTGCGGTTTTTGCATTCTTAAAACCATTGGGTGCGGTTTTGCAATGGTTCGGTTTTTCGGTTTTTAAATGCGGTTTCGGTTTGTATCGGTTCGGTTTCGGTTTTTAAACCGTGTTAAGAATTTGGTGCATTTTTTTTATGTTTTTTGGTGGGGTTTTTTAAAACTGTAAGAACTGAAAACCATGCGCATATAAGCTTGTATTGTGCTGTTTTTTTCAATACATTCATTTTCAGCTCAAAACAAAATTGCATAATAAAAAATTGTAAGTCGTTTAAAATACAACTTGTGACCACTCTCACAAACTAATTAATAATTGAAGGTTGGTTGATTTTGACTTAATTTGTTACAAGCTTATTACATGTAATCGATTACTACGTTTGGTTAACAATAGAACATTTCTTTTGCACCCCATATAGTCTTATACAAACACAAAATAAATATATAATAAATATATTATCGTTTATAACTATTTTAAATAGCATGTATATAATATACATTGATTGATTTATTACTATACATGCTTGCGGTGCGGTTCGGTTTTGGTGGACTGGTTTTTAGGATAGAAACAACACCGCACCGTTGACCTTCGGTTTTTGCAAAAATTAAATCCGCACCATTGCGGTTTTGCATAGGTTTCGGTTTTTCGGTTGCGGTTTATTGCGGTTTTATCGGTTTTTCTTTAGTCGGTTCGGTTTTTGCTCACCCCTACTAGAAAACACCTCTGACAAACTATTAAAAAACTTAAATAAGATTATAATAAAAGAATTATAGTTTCTAGTTGTTTTAGAAAGTAACAATATAAATTAACTAAATATGCGACTTTTTTTTTTTTTGTTTGTCATGAACATTTATGTACATAAAAATGGATTATGTTCCAGTTTTTTATTTTATTATTAATATTATTATTATTATTATTATTTTATCTCACTCTATTATGGAATTGAAAAAGAGCCCATGACGTAATGAAAAAGAATTGAAAAAGAGCCCATGAGTGTATTTTTAGTATTATTTATGTTTATTTCGTCTTATGGCTATTTTTGCCATGGGATACTTTTCATGAGTGTATGTTTAGAATTATTTATTTGCGTGATTATTTTGTCTGATGACTATTTTTGCCATAGCACTCCAGCGGCGACACCTAGCAATAGCGGCGACATGTAAATGACGCGTTGCATGCCGCCGTTATTGCTAGGTGTCGCCGCTAATGCTTTGATTTAGCGATCCGCATCATTTTCACCCCATCCGTCCGATTTGTTTTCGAACTAACAACTGTTGAGGAAAGCGGAAAAGCGCCCTCCACTTGTCGCCACTAATGCACTAGTATCGCCGCTATTGCCCTAGCGTTGCCACTAAAGCCCGTCACCGCTAGTACTAAACGCAGATATCCCCTTCACAGATTACCTTTCTATCATTTTTTTCCTTACCTTCCACCTTCCTCTCGTTTTTCTCTATTTCTTTCTTAAATATCACGATTTTTTTCCAACTTTGTGGACTAGGAATTGCTTCTTGGACCGGTGTTAGCCCCTCCTTCCCCCAAGACAGCCATAAACCGGAGATATTTAGCCAAATTCCGAAATTGCCCCAACCAAGGTCGAATTTCTCATCTTTTTTATGATTTTTCCGTTTTTGTGTTAATTTAGATGATAAATTGTGAGTACTTTTTAATTTTATTGAGTGATTATGTTTGTATTTTGAGATATGAGGTGGTTATGCATTTTGTTGGATTATTATGCATTTTTTAATTTTATTGAGTGATTATGTTTGTATTAACGACGACTATGAGCATTAGCGGCGACATTAAGCGTATTAGCGACGAAACAATACCGGCGACGTATTTGCAACGACATGTCGCCGCTAAAGGTATTAGCGGCGACACGCCTAACCTTTAGCGGCGACACGTGTCGCCGCTGTTGCCCAATCTTCTTGTAGTGTGGGTTAGCAAAAGATTGCAAGGATTGATCGGGACAATTTAGAGGTGTGCAGTAAAATTACAAACCTATCGATTATATTTGATATCCAATCATGATTAGACCGGAAAGGTTTCGAAATTTCAAAATAAATCGGATTGGATCGGTCATTAGAATCAATGGATAACCGAAACGAACCAATCCGATATCCAATAAATACCCAATTAACATCTAAGGTTATATCCAAATAATATTTTTGATTAGAATCCAATAAATATTCAATTTCCATTCAATTGAATTTTGAAGTTTAAACGCTTTTTTTACAATTAACTGTGTGAGGTTTTAATTAAAACATTATGGTAACAAAACACTTCAAGTACATTGAAAAATAACTTAAAAGTGTAACGAAGTTTCTAAAATGTCCAAAAAAAATCACATTTTTTGTTAACTGCGTTGTTGTCGAATTATGTAGAACACAATTACCGGAGATCATGAACCGTCATATCAGTTCATAACAATTGTGCAGATCATTTTCATTCATTCTCTCGACCGTTCTTGTGGTAACAAGAGAAGTAAGTGTGTAATAACCTTAGGTAAACATTCTTGCTTCCCTATCACATTTATGCATCAAGCCTAAAACATATATACGTTATATAGATGCACATATTATACATTAATGTTAGCCGTTCATTAGTGTTGCGACATAAGAGAGACACAAAGGAGAAACGAATGTGATTTTATGTCATGAGAATTTCTAAATATGGATTTAATACAAACTGATTGAGTGATGGAATGAAAGAGAGTACACAACTGGTGTGAACTAGTACGACGGTGACTAATCTTCGATAACCGTGTTTTATATAATCCGGAAATAATGAAGTTAACAAAATGTAGTCTGAAAAAACAAAAAAAAATGTTAAATATTAAAATGACTTTAATTCAAAAAAAATGTTTTTTTTTTCAACTTTTTGGAAATTTTAATGATATTTTTTGTATTAAAATATGTCTTTCGTTGGTATTTTGTGTACAAAATGATACACTTCAAGGGTATTTTTTATACTAAAAAAATAATGATATTTTTTGAACATTTTGGAAACATTATTACCTTTTAAAGTTATTTATCCGTTTACCTGATGTAACCGGTTACCATAAGGTTTTATTTGAACACGAGACTTCGTTGGTATTTTGTATGCAATTTTTTTTTTCATATTTTGTGTACTAAAAAACTATCATATTTTTTATATATTTTTGAAACTTGTTAGGTAATTATCCAAAACACTAAAGTATAACGGGTGTTCAACAACAAATATATTTTTGAAACTTGTTAGGTAATTATCCAAAACACTAAAGTATAACGGGTGTTCAACAACAAAATATCAGCGGGCTTCGATCCTTTAAACCCTAATCCTATTACCATAACGCATTCCCGCCTCATTTGGTACTGGAAAACCCTATTTGCAAGAACACATTAGGCCCTCATTTACCAAGCCGACCCATTATTCTTCTCCAGTCCACCTCGACGTCTTCTCCTTTCTCCCCCCGACGTCGTCAGCCTGCGTTTCCTCCGACAAGAGCTTCCCTAATCTCCGGTGAGTCTCTCTCTCTCTCTCTCTCTCTCTCACACACACACACACACACCTACAAACGCATTTCCCTGCTTTCTTTTTTCACTGCGATTTCGATTTTTGGACCTCTCTTCGTCCCTTGTCTCTCCAGCTTAGAGCCTGCGATTTCGATTTTTCTCGTCAGCCTCTGCTGGTATAGCGATTTCTTTGACCTGACTTTTATGTTGATGTTTAGGGGTTTTATGATTTATGAAACTTAAATTCCTTTAAATGCTCAATTTCTAGACTCCTTTTGTGCTAATCTGGTTTTACATTCTTTTGTAGCTTCAATGGCTATTAAAGGCAAAAAGTCACAGAAGAAACCAAACAGAAAGGAGATTGTTTCTGTCAAGAGCAAAAAGAAAAATGATATTCTGAGCGAGTCTGATATGGAAGACGAAGAACTGCAACAACAGCAGAGTATCAATAGTGATGAAGGTGGGGATTCGGGGTCGGAACTTTCGTTGGATGGGGATGATACATATGCACGCGATGTTTTAGGAGGCAACGACGATGAAGGTACTTCAATTGCAACTATTGGACTCAAGGATTATGCTTGTTGAAACAATAATCTGTCAAATGAATTAGGTAAAGGTAAGAACTTAAATTTGGCGATGAAATCACTCACATACAAGAACTAATTGAAAGAACTTTATCTGGAAGTGCGGAAGAAATTGTTCCATATTCACGCACCATACAGAACTTTAACTTAAAATTAGGTCTTCCCTAAGGTCATAAAAATAGACTCAGTTGGACTTGGACATTGAATTAAGATGCATACAACCTCCTAAGTTCCATAAATTTAAAAATAATTATTTGAATAGCGTAGTTTTTTAATCATATTTAATGCATGACTAATTATAAATCTAAAAAATCTGGACAAAAGACGTTAATGGGTCAACCTGACCCGTTTGACATGTATTAAAACTTGCATCTTTGACCCAAATCTGTTTTGACATTTTACCCAAACTGCCTGATCTGCCTTTGTTGCCACCTCTAGACTTTTTTTTCCATGTGCTGATGTTCAAAAATATTATAGAACAAAAGGACAAACTTGGGACTGAAAGGAACCAAAATATGAGGGCAAATATGTAAAAAGTTTGGACTTAATGAGGAAAGCCTCCTTTCCTTTATTTCCTTTTATCCAGTCATTGTTTCTGTATTAAGTAAACAAGAAAAACAATAGACAGCTTACACCAAGTCCGTGAAGTCAAAAACAAACAATCCTTGATGGACATTGAGGACCTTCTTGAATTTTCTTAAAAAACAACTTTCACTGTAATATGTTATGTTTCATTGTTCAAATCATATATACTATGCAATTTGAAGTCGTATTATATCTATACCAATGTTCTTAGCTATTTTTTGGTTGGTTTTATTTGTTTATAGTTAAGGGGTCAGGTTCAGATTCGGAATTGGATTCCGGATCCGATTCCGATCGGGATCCTCAGGCAGAATCTGCAGCTATAGACAGAGAAAGTGCGATAGTACAACAAGAGGGACAAGATGAACTACAACTTAATATCAAAGAACAACCTGATGAGTTTCGATTGCCAACACAGGAGGTTTACTGCTTTTTTTTTTTTCTTTCATTTGTGCTAAAATGACATGTTATGTTGCATTTGCATGGGTAGTGTTTGGAATATGATGGAAACCAGGAAGGAAAGGAATGGTTAACTCCATTGGAATAAAAAACAACCTGTTTGTTTTGTATGATGGAATGGAATGGACATTCTTAAAGCAATGCAATTCCTTTTATTGTGTCGTTTTTTGTTACTTAGCTTTTTTCATTCTATCATGGAATGGAATGGGAAGTTGCGATATATTCTATTTTATTTACGAAGTATTTAGTAACAAATCTTTTTCAAAATTTCATGATTCTATTTTTTTTTTTATCTAAATACAACTAAAAAAATATATTTTCTTAAGTATAATCTTATTTGGGTTTTGATGAGTTTTAATTTGCTCAATTTTTTAGTTTCATTAATTATAAGAGTATTGTTTCATGCCTTTTTAAATCCATTTACTTTAGGAACTTGAAGAGGAAGCTCGTGGACCCCCTGATCTTACTGGTCTCCAACAAAGAATAAAAGAAAGTGAGTCTTATCTAGTGATTAAAAAACTCATTTTCCATTTATGCCCCTATATTCCCATCTCCTTTTATATAACATATGTCAAATTAAACTGTCCAGTTGTTAGGATTCTCTCAAATTTTAGTTCTTTGAGGCAAGAGGGAGCAACAAGAAAGCAGTATATAGAGCAACTTAAGTTGGATTTAGGATCATATTATGGCTACAACGAGTACCTTATTTCTTCATTTGTGGAGGTAATTTAAATCTTTGATATTTTGTGTAATAATTTCTGCGTTGGCCAAATTCTAATTGTTTCTAACTAATACATTTTGTGCAGATGTTTCCACCTGTTGAACTTATGGAACTAATTGAAGCTTTTGAAAAGCCTCGACCAATCACCCTACGTACCAATACATTAAAGGTGATTGATATAAAACTTATTTATTTTTTTGTTTTCTTTTCAATAGCATGGTTTTTGCTATAATACTTATGTAGCTCCACTTTTTGATGATAAATGTAGACACGGAGACGAGACTTGGCTGGTGTTTTGTTGAATAGAGGTATCAACTTGGATCCTTTAAGCAAGTGGTCAAAGGTAAGGATCATTCATCTTCTTTGTTCTTTGTTTGTAAAATTAGGTAGTGTTTGTAATGACTACCTTATTGTTTTGTGATGTTTCACTAATTGCCCCTTGAACAACAACAGGTTGGATTGGTTGTATATGATCATCAAGTGCCATATGGTGCAACCCCAGAATATATGGCTGGTCATTACATGGTACTTATTTCCTAGTTAAAAAACTTTTATTTTTATTTTGTCAGATTTGCTTTGCTTATTTCTTCTAACTATTGGTTTTGGTTTACTCTTTATAGGTGCAAAGTGCAAGCTCTTTTCTACCTGTAATGGCCCTTGCTCCTCAAGAGAAGGAACGGATTGTTGATATGGCGTAAGTATCCAACATATTTTTACATTTTATCTTCAAATGCCTTCAAAACTTATTACACTATAAAAATGATTTAAGTTGTACTTATAAATAGCTTTTATATAGAATTAATTTCAGTTTTATTTATAATTAAGTTTTATATCCTTTCTTTGTCTTAATACACACATTTTAGTATCAGATTTAAACCCCGATACATCTCTGCATTTTGAAAAATAACTTTTACTTGTTGTAGGGCATCTCCGGGTGGTAAAACCACTTACATTGCCGCTCTTATGAAAAACACTGGTATGCTCTTTTTTTGCACATTTACACAATTTCTTTGTGATGTCATTTGGATATAAAATGTATTTTAACCAACCACCCTATGTGATTCTTATTAGGTATTATTTATGCTAATGAGATGAAGGAGAAGAGGCTTAGTAAACTAACATCTAATTTACAACGATTGGGTGTTACAAATACTGTAGTATGCAGCTATGATGGGAAGGAGGTTAGTTTTTCTAACTTATATATATATATATATATATATATATTAATATATATATATATATATATATATATATAATTTAATCAGATGAAGCTTAAGACTACTGATGTTAATGCCTTAATGGGACATAAGTTGCTATTTTTTGTGCCACCTAAAAAGGCTACAATCTCTCGTCTATGCAAAAGACGTGAAAGCCCTCATCCTCATCAATTCATCATTGGAAATTGCTCTAGAAATATTGTTCAGTCTCATGTTTTTATATTGAGTTTCCATTTATGGGCATTTTGGTAAATGATTCACTTTTTTTTTTTTTATTTGATTTGATTTCAGCTCCCAAAAGTATTGGGACATAACACAGCAGACAGGGTTTTGTTGGATGCCCCTTGCAGTGGTACTGGGGTAAGCCTAAAGCTCTATATGCTCATATCATATGCTTGTTTCTAGTAATCTAGTCCTTGCTTTTACAGTTTAATAAGAATATTTATTTATTTATATAACTTTTACAGGTTATATCTAAAGATGAATCTGTCAAAACCTCTAAAAATGCCATTGATGTACAGAACTTCTCACGTCTACAAAAGGTACCCAAACTCTTATGTATGCAGTATGCTATTCACTTTTACACACCTCTTATGTTATATATAATATTCTTCTAGAACTTTATAAATGTCATAAGTTAGTGATAGAAACTCGCTAAATTATGTTATTATTATTATTGTATAAGAGCTTAATTTTAAATTTGTTGATTTGCAGGAACTAATACTTGCTGCAATTGACATGGTGGATGCAAATTCAAAATCAGGAGGTTATGTGGTTTACTCCACATGCTCCTTGATGGTTGTTGAGGTATTATTGGTTGAAAGTTGGGACACTCCTTTTAATTATTTTCAAACATCTTTCTTTTATCCAGACAATAAACACTTCATCTGAGTCCTTGTGATCTTGCAGAATGAAGATGTTATAGACTATGCACTGAAGAAGAGGGATGTGAAACTCGTTCCATGTGGACTAGATTTTGGTCGCCCAGGGTATTTTATTTATTTATTTATTTTTAAAAATTTTGATGAGTATTTTTGTCTAAAGAATTTGTATATTTTTTTGCATGTACTATGTAGGTTTGTTCGATTTAGGGAACGCAGATTTCATCCATCATTGGAAAAGACAAGACGTTTCTATCCACATGTCCATAACATGGATGGCTTTTTTGTTGCAAAGGTATCCCATTATATTATATTATTATTATACATACACAATAGCAACAACATACCAAAAGCATAATGTCACAATGCTGTGGTTGGGTAGATTTTTTAACAAGAATGCTTTAATGCTAAAAAAGATTAAAAAGAAGAAATCGAAAATACAAATGATGTAATAGAAAGAAATGAAAGTAGGATGCTATAATTCACTAATACATAGATGTACATTGCTATTTTATGCATATAGTCCATATATTAAAAGTATATAAGTTTATATAAAAATTCAACGTCCATATTTTGGGCCCATTTAGTTTACTTAAGTTTTGTAGTGTTTTTTTGAGCTTGTGAAGATTTTTAAATACCCACTTGGGATTAACTATAGTTGATGTTTATGAGATTATAAAATCAACCAAAGAAATACAATAAGTCCTAGTAAATGGTTTATAAATGTAATAGTTTGCATTCTGAATGGTTGTAGAGTTATTAATGAATCGGTGGTTTATCTTTATTTATGTTGATATTATTATTGCAGTTGAAAAAAATGAGTAATTCAAAGGGAGTTCCTGGAACATATTCTGAAGTACAAGAAGAAGAGGTGGAAGAAGGTTCTGAAATCATGGAAGAAGAAATTCCTCAACAAAAACAGAAGAAAGAGGTTTTGAGAAAAGAGAAAAAAACCTCAAATGATGCTTCTCTTAAAAGAAAAAAACAAGAAGAAAAACCTGCCGCTTTTGAGAAGAGGAAGAAATATAAACCTCCTCCTAGAGAAGAGATCTCAAAAGCCAGGTACATCCTCTCTCTCTCTCTCTCTCTCTCTCTCTCACACACACACACACACCATATATGTCTCTTTGGTATTATGTATATAATTCAACTTGATTTTGAAAAGTTAAAAATAAAAATCGGTTATACTTTCATTATTTTACACTTAACTAATTCCTATAGTGATTAGATCATTATAATACTATTTTCGACCTTTTAGAAAAGGGCTACTGTTTTATCAAATTAACAGTAGTGGCTTATTTGAAAAGCGGTGAATATAACTTTTGAGGATGATTGTTTTTGAACGATAAAAAAAGTATAGATGTTTAATTGTTGTAGAAAAGATAGTTTAGTGGCTAAACTGATGAAGCCTTGAAACTGCTTTTTTGCTTTTCTGTATTTTAAGAAAAAACGTGTGATGTAATAATTGTGTAGATTCTTGATATAGAAAAAAAGTTGAAAGTAATAATATAAGTAAATGAAAGTAGGATGCTATATATAATACACACAAATAAATAGAATTATTAAAAAATTAATGTGGTGTAATAATTTTGTATCCATGAATATGATGCTTATGGTTATGGTGATGCAGGGAAGAGAAGAGAGAAGCTCTAAGAGAAGCAAAGAAGAAAACAAAATCCTCAATCAAGAAAAGGTAGACCAGACCCAGGGTATGATCTGACTCACCAAATTTAATTCTGCCATGGTCAAAATTTTGTTCCAAATTATATATTTATTTATTACTTGATGTTTTATTTCTTTCTTGTTATTTATATTATATTATAATAGAATCTGTATTGTATTCGGGTTTTGTTTTTGATTTAGCCAGGTTAATTAAATCATTTTAGGCGGGCTTGTTATAGATTCTATTATTGTCCTTGCTTTTTTATTTATGCTCTCCATGCCCCCCTTGTTTCCACAGTGAATGCTTTTTACCAAGTATTTATTTATTTAGACACCACTCTCACTCTTTTTGTTTTGTTAATTTAGTTTACAGTTTACTAAATATGAAAGTCTTGCCCATAGATTCCTTTGTTTTGGGACAAAATTGCAAAAATGGTCCCGTGGTTGTCAAAATTCTGCAATTTTGATCCTAAAATGTTTGGTGGTGTGTTAGAGGTCTAATCTTTAGATCTTTTTAGTGATTTTGGTCACTATATATGTAAAAAGACGAATGTACCTTTATATTTGATTCTTTTTTATTTTTTTGTTTTGTTTTTATTAATAAAAATCTAAAGAGTCTCCTATCTCTTCTATCTAAATGCTTCCACCACCACCACCCATTGTCAATAATTTTTTTTTCCAGCTTCACCTTCCCCTACTACCATTGGAGTTGAGAAACCACCATCGACCATCTTACCTGGCTACAAATCACCATCCTTGTACCACTGAATTAAAACCACACAGAAAAAACCTACCTTCATTGTTGAGCATCATCTCAATTGAATCCACTATAGAACAACACCTCATCGAGCCTCCTTATTCACCAGATGAGAATGCTGGTGGTTTGCCATCACTATTGCCCATTGGAGTTCATCCAGATCAAGATATTCTATATAAATCTGGATTGAGAAAGCTATGTCAACCACTAAAGAAAGGGAAAGCGATGAACACTGGTGGTGGAAGAGGGACAAATTTATTGCATTGGTCTTGTTTTGTAGATCTATAGATGGTCGGATTTTTTAAATGGAGGGTAAGAGGTGTGTTAGGCGTGTTAAACCACACAAATAATAGAGGTACAAAGGACTCAAAATACATTTTTTTATGCACTAAAAAGCAGTACACGGCAAGTAGGGTTGAATTACAAAGACATAGTATCAAAATCTATACTTTTTTGCGTAAGGTACTTTGGTTACAATTGAGGATTTGTTTGCAAAAGTAAAATAATAAACATAACGATCTATTTTGAAAACATGTAGAAAATGAAATAGATTTGTAAACAAGTTGTTGAAATGCTCTTTGATTAGACCAAACTTTTCTAATTCAACCTAAATATTATACAAGCTTCTCAATAATGTTCATTTCTTCTCATACGCTCAAAACTGTGAAAACACGTGATATATGTTTTACAATAATAAAACTTATTGTTTGTTACCAATTATTAACTTAATAGAACTATTAGGTATCCTAAAAGTTAATTAACCACACAAAAATTCAATTCATGAAGGTGGTCAGTCAAACATAAATCAAATTCAAGGGTTCTAGTTTAAACAAGAACATAATCACTAGAATAGAATCACAAATCAAACATCAAATCACATGCTTTAAGTCAAATAATCAACATGTTTTGAGTAGGAATTAGAAACTAGGGTTTCTTAGCCATATATATAAGAAAATATCAAACAAGAATAAAGATGGAACTGAAATGTTTAATGCTTACAAAAGGAAATCAAAAATGTTTGCAATGATTACTAGCCTTCAAGAATTCCTCAAAAATCTCCCAAAATCACCAGAAGTTGCTCCCAAAAAATGTCTCCTTTGAAAAATGATGTATTTCCCTCTTTTAGTAACTGCTCACGTGCCTAATTCAATGCCATGCATTTATAACATGACCATGCCTTTTACCCATGCGTTTTTAGCATGATCATATGTTTTTAGCATGGCCTATGATTTTTGCTAAAAGTCCAATAAGTCTTCACTGTTGGCTCCTTCTTCAGTTTAGCTTCACCCCGAGTCATGTTGCTCAAATATAAGATGAAAAAGGACAAACACGACTCGTGTCGATGTGACATGAACCGTGTTTCAAACATAGTCCTTTGTTATGATGATATGCAACGACTCGGGTTATGTCTTCATGTTATCTTCCATAGCATGACCGGTCCATCTTCTCTTCATGCTCCAATGCTCCATGCTTCATAATGCCTACAAAATAAATCCAAAATAGTGAAGTACCATACATTGTTAATAAAATATGCAATTTCCCAAATAATTAACTAAATGCAAGAATTATGAAGTAGAATGCTATGAAAAGACGAGAATAAACATGAAAATTAGGTGCATAAATGACACATTTCAAACCTCTCCAAGCTTAGACCTTTCTTGTCCTCAAGAAAGAACAAAATGAAGAATCACCCTTGATAAGACGACAAGTGACTAAAAAGAAACTTAGATGAAAAGAAGGAAAGAATGAAAAGGACCTACAGGGAATTATGAGTGAATGCATGCAATAAAAGAAAAACTAAAGAAAATAACATATGTACAAAAAGATTAACAATCATTCAAATATTTTTTTTTTCAAACATCAATGTGATAAATAAAACAAAACAATAAGATTCAATCCAATTAACCTCATTGTGTCATACAGTCGGAGGTGTACTTATCGTGTTTTGAAATAACTTAGCATTAACCCCACAAAGATATATAACATTAACAACAAGATTTTTAGCCACTCCTAACACAACTCAACAAAATCAAAGTTACAACACTTGTTCACTTTTACCGATTTTGGGTTAGCACATGGAAGAAATTATGACCTTACTCTGATGAAAACATATGTGATGAAAAATATGCTCAACAACTCCATCTATTTGTTGACTAACAAAAAATCTTTTTTTTTAAAAAAAAAAAAAAAATTCTTTAATATTTACCTAGATTGGTTACATGTTTCAAACCACTTACACTAGTCAAAGTAGTTAACAATCTATCATGATGTCATAAGTTCAAGTTCAACTCTAAGGGGATCTTTTAACAACCAAACAATTTTCCTTGTTGTATTTATTCATGCAACTCATGTTGTGGAATTGTCCACTTATTGACTTTTTTTGAATCCTTTTTTTATTAACTCTTTTATACTTTGTCCTTGCACAACTCATTTAAGGTTCTGTTCGCAAGGGAGCACTTTCAAAGTATCCGAAGATGCATTCATGCTTAAATACTAGCTTGATGCGACATTCGAAGATGATGTTCACAAGGAGGGCACTGCTATGACATAAATAGAGGAGTACAATTGTGATGGAAGAGTATATATCTACATGTTTAAGTTATTTGCTTGACCTAATTTTTTATATTTTTGGTCATTTACTGAGATACAGGCCCAGTCGAAACTCTACTAATTAGAAGATACGAGCCCCGCCCACACTCAGCTACTGGTCACATACATAACATACACGGGCCGACCTTGGTGCCTTCAACCCTTTCTATTAGAGGAAAACTCACCTCTCAAACTGGATGCTGATCTCGTGCGTGAGGAATCTTTACTAGCTGCTCCCGCGACTCCTGACTAACTCTATATAAAAATACTTGGTCAGAAGACTGAAAATCCATCTAAGGGTCAAACGATCATTTTACCCCTGGTCAAAGTCAACGCTAAGGTTAAATTCAACATTCTGGGTTGACCGAATCACCAAGTCAAATCTACAACTTGTCGAGCTCTATAACTCAAAAATCCTGGAATTGTGACTCAACTCGCCGAGTCGTTCCTCCGACTCATCGAGTCCTATCGAGTTGCTAAGTCGCTATTTGGCAAATCAACTCGTCGAGTCCCTATACATACTCGTCGAGTTCCACGCATGCAAACCTAGATCTAGGGTCTAGCTATCAGATAACCACGAAACGTCTCAAGCCTTCTTCCATGCATGGGCTTTTTGAGTTCAAAAGGCCATACATACGTCTTTAGCACTTGTATGGGGGATCTAAGGGCATAAAGTTTGCACCTTTATGTTCTCACAGCCTCTCAAGGCACTAGATTTGGAAAAGCAACTCTTGGGTCGATCCTTACCCACAAGTTAGCAAATCTTGGACCAAAAACCACAAAAAGAGGTCATAAATAGATCTAAGAAGAGAATGATCAATTTTGAGGCTTTATTACCAGAAAATGCAGCTAAAGGGATGAAACTTTTGGATCTATTGTTTCTCTCTTGAGTCCTCTAACTTCTTGTTCTTCTTCCACAAGCTTCAAAAGGCACAAATAACACTCAAAAGTAGCTCAAACAAACTCAAAAAGCACTCTAGGGTTTTGTAGTTGAGGGTTTAGGACAAGGAAGCTGCAAATGAGGCTAAGGGGTGAGGATTAATGTGTTTAAATAGGGTGCAAAACTCTAAAAGTAGGGTTTCACCCTGACTGAACTACTCGCCGAGTCAGTGACTTGACTCACCGAGTAGATAACTTAAACTCCGTGCATAGTCTGCCTTCTACTTGACGAGTTAGGGCTAGCAACTCGTAGAGTCCTTCTCTCAAAATAAATAAATAATTAAATTAAATGTGTACCAAGGAACCGGGCATTACACCAATACGTCTCTTGATGGAGGAATTTGAAAAATATCTCTTGCACGAGTGCTCTACATGAAAGGAAGTTTTAGCTCATCTTCATAGTTGGTGGAATAAGATTCCAACAACTTCAAGCTCTATGGAAGACCTACCGAATCAGAATACATGTAGTGATGAAAGGAAGAAAAGGAGGATCGACATGGGAACAATCCTGTTGGCATTTTTTCCAGTGATCTTCTCCTATAGAAATGACAAGGTGTTCAATAGCAAGTTTAAAAATTGGAAGTCTATCTTCTATTAGGTACAACTTCTCTTGTTCAATTGGATTAGGAGTAGAGTCAATTAAACTAAGAACGTTAAAAGGAGGACTTGCAGTCCAATTTGATATGTAATTCTATTTAAGCTGTATCTTTTTAGCGTATCACTAGTGTTTAATAAATTTTTTGGTTTTCAAAAAAAAAAAAAAGACTACGATTCAAGTTACGAGCAATGTTAGGTAAAGAATTTATATTTATTATTACTATTATTATTACTTTTATTTTTGGCAATCTAGCATGGTTTCAACCTACTACAAAAAAGTTTTCTATTCTCATTGTTTTTTGCAGTCACGTAATCTCAACTTCTTTCATTAATTTTCAAACTGAAAATGGTATCCTGAACAGTTTCCACTCTTACTATTATCAATATTTCCTAAGTAGCCTTAACCGACTTGTAATTGGATTAAAACCTATTTTAATAACACATTTTTT